GGGCTTCATTCGGGAAAATACAATTTTTCTGATTCTGATGTGACGCCGATGAGTAGAATTGGACAAACATTTCGGTTGATTTTTATTTTGTTACGAAGATTGCCTTTTACGTAAACCGTGCAGTTGTTCACTCCAGTGACAGTTTTTTGAACTCATCTTTAACCTGGAGTGCAGCCCGCAGACGTTCGTTTTTAAACTCTGGCAGGAAGCCCGTGGTAGGAAATGTCTCATTTCAGTTAAAACACGGACATAATCCCGCTTGGGACTGGATGCTCCAAAGAAGAAGATTTATTCAGTACCACTGACATGCAAAACGGCTAGAAGGAATGTTGTTTGCCTTAACATACACTACATATTTACAGAGGATTTAAGAGCCACGGGATAGGAGAGAGCAGGTAAGCTCTTTACAGTACAAGTGCATATTTAAAGCAACGCAACATCTATAGTCCTGCGAAATACATGCCCATTTAAAGCCCCAGTGCAATGAACATTGATGGAGTGAGCAATTTAGGTTTTAACTTTTCGACATGAGATGGACTTTCAAAAGCCACATTTCAGTTTTTCATTTGTATACTTTTCAAAGTAACCTGCAATTCAACCACGGTATCATATTTCTTAAATAACACAAAGGGTGATTGAGGATGTACCGTAAACAAGCTGAAAACTGGAGCTTTAAATGAGAATTGATTGGTGCTCATATGACATTTGTCTTCAAAACATACAATTCTTTAATGGAAGAAATGACAAATAAAAAGTTGCCTTCTTTTTGCTTAAGCAAACGTAATCGCCATAATCGGACTACACAAACTAAAACATAACACGACAATGTAAAAAAAAAAGAATATCTTGAAACAAATAAGTTAATGTTTCAAGACTTAACATTTTTGAATCACAAACTACGGACACATTTTTGGCTATACTGTATTTTTTTGGAGGACTACAAAACGTAGACCCGGCAATATTTACACGTACCACTCTTCTTCATCCAACACACACACACACAAAATCCTGCTCGCACGGAAAAAAAGAGGCAACAATTTTTAGTGCTTTGAAAAGAAGGAGGCAAAAGAAAATGCATGGTACAACACTTTAACTTCATTATCCCTGCCCTCTCTTACATCAATACTTATGCAGACTTACCAAATTGTTTTTGGATCTGACATCTACAAAACTGCCATTTCCTTAATAACAAAAAAAGCAACAGTGTGTGTGTGTGTGTGGCAACCTCTTGTCATAACAAGGAAATCTTGAGCTCATAAGACCTCAATTCACATCAGCCACAAAAGTAGGCCAAGCTAAAGCATTCTAAATCTCACAACGACCTGCACTGAAGTCGTTTCAAGCAAAAAAAAATCTTGATTTTATTTACTCTCGCCCCTCCTGAAATTCTCGCGCACAGGACTATGAAGAAAAACAAACTCCGATGATACTATAAAAGCTTGGTTTCATCCCTTTTTGATCACCTTAACCTCAAGCACTCTCTCTCCTTTCATCATTTGAGGATATTACGAACTCAAGAGAAGGCTGATGGGGGATCTTCAGTGACTGCTCAGCTCTGAAGGGCGCATAGTTGACAAATCAGCGTCACCAAACAAAGGTCGTTCTCCACTCTGTGCGTTGTAAACGCTTGGCATTATGAATGACAAACTTCCCCGTGAAGCCAGACAATGGAGCATTCGGTAAGAACAAAGAGGAACGGATGTCGAGATTAAAAAGACAAGATGTAGACGACACCCAAGTGAACATTTCCAAATGAACAGCGTTTAGCATCACAGCAATGACCAGAGGCAAATCATCAGTGTGTACTTACGACTGTGAGGAATGTTTGAAATGTTTACTAGTGCATGGACGAGATCATTTATCTTCCGAGCTCGGAGTGAGTTCTGGGAAGGAGGAGTGGAGGAAACAAACACTATGTTTGCATGCTCTGTACGTGAAAGCAAAAGGGCCCAAGGTCCCGTATTACAGTAAAACCATTGTAAGCGAACCCATTCGCTGTGCCTACGCTGAGCAGCACATTCTGAACAGATGCCCACTTGTAAAAAAAAAACACTCGTAAGGAGAAGAGGTGAGCAGAAAGAGGCACGATCAGCCGTGAGGTCTACGACGCAGGTCTCTGCGTTGTGGGACATTCCGTTGTGTCGTGAGAACAGACGAGATACATTTCGATTTAAAGCTTTCGTGACTGCAGGGATTCATCTTCTTGGTTCTTTTGGTAAAGTCACGTAGAATGGAAATAATAAAAAAATTAAACATAATAAAATAATTCTCACGACGTTTCGGCCACAATGCAAGCAGCCGTCTCCACCTGAGGACGGCTGCTTGCGTTGTGGCCGAAACGTCGTGAGAATTATTTTATTGTTTTATTTTTATTATTTTATTATTTCCATTCGACGTGACTTTACCGAAAGAACCAAGAAGACGAGATACAGTTAGAGTCGAGTTGGATCACATCAGTTCTGGCGTGTTCAACACAGCTGCTATTGGCGCAGGGAACTCCGATTTGATTGACAACGCGTGACATTTTTTTACGTGTTAAGATGCAAAAATATCAATTGGGCCAGCCTGTTCGTGCAAGCGTACACGTGTACGCCAAGCATGAGGCCGAACACAAACACAAATGCGTCTTAAGTTAAGCAACAAACACTCTTCCCTTCTCCCTTGCTAAAGAGAAAATGTATCTCGATGGACTCGGCCATGATTTAATTGATTTGATATGGTGTGACATTGCGGGCGAGGCCTGGCTTCTCAAACGTCAACTGCGACAAAGAGCAGCGTCAACATGCCACTCTGGATGGGCCCGTTCTTGGGTGTCTGATCCCACAACCTATCTGGGCAGCCGTAAGCATGCTCATCAGTAAGGGGACCTATATGTCTATAGGGTGATCCATTTACAGGTACCCCACTAAAATAATTAGGTAGTAAACGTATATTTTTTTTCAAATTCCCTTCCTGTCCCCCCCCCCCACACCAATTTCGGTACACTCTTCAAATCCGTTAAAATGCTTGACTGTGCTTTATGAGTAAGGCAAATGTATGTGAGATTAAGAATGAATTACTGTGTGTGAAAGAGGTCAGAGTTGTGAACATCTGCTGAAAATGAGTTACACCTCGCAAAAAAATATACGACGCTGGGTGTTGGCGGTGAAGTGGTAAGGCCAGATACGCGATGGTCGGATATATGACGTCGTACTGTACACAATAACTGCGTAATTGTTAAGATGTGTTCAGCAGGGCTGAGTTCTTTAAGCTGCTGCCGGGTGGCATGAATTTGAGGCAGGTTTATAATTTGGTGTAAGAGACTTAAGACCGCAAAGATTTCGGGACTATGTTTTAAGTGAAAAAAAAAGTCAACATGAAATGAACAGGGACTATTTTTTTACCGTGTCTGGCTGCATGCTACAGCCGTACAGTTGTTACCGAGTGATGTAATTCAGTGATAAAAAATGTACTCTTAATTTTGAATCTATAATTCGTGATGTGGCCTGTCATTAATTTTGACAATGATTGCTCGATGGATATACCAGGTATGATGCGAATGTCGAAATAATCTCCCTGCTCACATGAGTGTGAAAATTCCACATTTCTATTGCAGAGGACTCGGTTTTCTCTTTACACAGGTCACAACACATCCAGGCATATTTTGTTGTTGTTGTTTTATAAATGGCTTAAGCGTATATAGGACTGTTAAATCCGATAGGTCTATAAGCACATTTTGTGATTGAAATCCAAATGCAGTGTAACAAATATAAAACCAATACTTCACGTCTAAAAAAAAAATGTAAATTAACCAAAAAAAGAAGCAAATAACTAACATTAAATTGGCGTGCTATTTTTTAACAGTTGTCATTTTTTTCAAACTAGTTTAATTATATTAGGTGTCGGCATTTGTTCACACGTCTGTGTAAATTGATGCAAGTAAATAATTATACAAGTGACCAACAGCCTGGTCTACATGAGCATGGTTTCCGAAACGTTTGTACTAGGTGATACACTATTTTATGTTACCAGGTAAGGCCCTACCTGAGCTGTGTAGCTCGTTTTCAGAAGCGACCTGACCACAAACGATAGCTCCACGAAGTGGCTTATCACGTGGACATGTATAGCAGCCAAATACTCGAAACGCATGATTGTAAATGTGGAGGGAAAAACCGGATGACCCGGAGAAAAATCTACACGACCACGGGGAGAACACGCAAACTCCAAATATACAGGCATCAGGGTCGGGATCGAGCCCACGAGCTCCTGCATACCAGGCGAGGTAGTTAACATCTCGCCACCGTGGCGCCAACTCAAAGCCTCCATTCTCACTAAACTTTCCTTCTTCAAGCTCTTATTTGTAAAAAAAAACATCGAAGAAGCATTTCTCTTTGTCCATGCGATCCTAAACTATTCATAAGGAATTGCATTATCATAAGGATATGAAATGGATTGTAAAATCAATACACTGATTACTAAGACACCCATGCAGAAAACTCCCAAAAGGACATCTGCAAGTTGCCATGCACATACAAAACATGGTCACAATCACAGCACTCTCCACTTGCTACAGATGTTTCAAATCTTCTTGTCTTTCTGTCTGATGTCATCACATATTCTATATGCCTCTGTTCCACAACAGCTGTAAAATACTTTTCCGTGCCATCACAAATAAAATACCAATGCAACTACACGCAAATTGTATGTATCGCACGCAAAGACAAAAATCCCCCATATAGCATTTACAGACTGTTGGGGCAAGTGCTGTTAGTGACCATCTATGAAGGTCAGCATGGCACACGAGGTGAGTGGTCAACACGGCTGTCTTTGTTTCCCGAGTGGCGATGTTTACACATCTCACCGGGTACTCATTTGAGACTCAGTCGACCTAGGGGAGGCCCAGGACCGGTTCAGATATTCGTCACTGGTGTTAGCCGTCAGCAAGAATAGAACTCGCGTCGCAGGGTTTGCAGCGTTTCGCGCTAACCGCTACACCACCGCTCACACACGCGTACAAACACTGTGTGAAATCAAATACCTTGTTTAATATTTCAGTTAAACCGAGTTATATTTCCACACAAAGAGACATATTGTCGTCTGGCTTAATTCTCACATGCAGCGCATAAATCTACTGGGTCAAACCTAAACTTGTGGCGACTAGATTGTGCTGTGATGTTGAAGCAACTCTTTATACCTGCATTGTAATTGCTTTTTAATTGTGGCAGCAATGTCAGTATAACTGAGCTGCGGTCAAACTAAAACCGTCACCTCGACAAAACACCAGGTCAAGCGCTATTAAAATGTGAAGCCAAAGTTGCGTCAAACGTCTACGACCGCTCTGTATTACAATAAGATCTACAACCTTCAAACGACCTACAGCTCATTAACATTACTGCAGTGGTACGGATACATACGATTTAGATAAACACCTCTAAACATTGCCTGGCACATCCCTAGGCTCAACATTGAACTTTTAATACCATGGGCAGTGCAATGCACCATAATGGTACTCTTAAAAGAAAAATGCATGTTAAAAAACGACAATGGGTTTGACAAATGTTAAGCGTACAACGCAGCATAACGGACAACTGCCAACATAGCATATTCAGAGATGAAGATGTCATTGGTAGGCCAAAGCTAATGATGCCACCAACACGATCATCTCCTCGTCACTGCCCAACGCTCCCTACCCTCCACCAGATCGTGCAGCTGCTGCGCAGTAGACAATCATTGACCTCCAGGACCTGCTCCAAACACATCGTCATTCGCAATCGGACGGATGTCTTAAACTTTACAACGAATGCATCAGCGCTGACAACTGATAAAATCCTTCCCCCACCCCCGACCCCAGTTTCCTTAACTCTCCCTTCAAAATTACACTCGATTATACATGGTACAAGAATACAATGATGCTCAAATTAATTGATCAAACAGTTGGAGCAGGCCTTGCCTTCACTGATACAAATTGCTGGAGATAATTACTTGTGAAACGTAATACATCCTTGGTTACTGGTTACTCAATTATTTTAAAATGTAATCCCGTATTTTTTTACGTTCAAAGTATTCTGATAACTGTTAATGATTGCTTTAAAAAAAAAAAACTTTGTAGACTGTTGGAAAATAACCACAATGTGGTGCGTAACCTGCAGGACTTGTCGCATCATTGACACGCATTGACGACTATTTGCCCCTCCATTCCATGAACCAAAAGCTCGTCATATAATTTTCCCATTTTAAATGTCATTGTATGATTTTCCAAAAAAAAAATAAGCGGCTACATTCAGAGCAATTGTTAAACCCCGAATACAAGTATTAAAAATCGAGTGAAATTGGATTACTAATATCTGCCTTGATCATCTAATTACAATTACAGCACTCAGATGGTTCGATTGTGAAGTGTCAGAGATGCTTAATTGTAATGGGCAGCGTGCCGAAAGTTCCATTTGGTTAATACCTGACCTTCTACTGGGGCAAGCACTTAACCTGGGCAATAATGGTCTTCACCTGGTCAGGTGAAATTATGAGAACAAGTAAATGTATCATCGCAAATTCGTTAATTTTTGTCACAACAACAGGAGAACATGGTTGCGCTGGATAAAGATAGCCATCCGCTGTGTGTTTTCGTTGCACCACGTGTCGTTTTCTGCATGATGCGCCTGAAGAAGGTCCCAGCCAAACACGTGCAGTGAAACGTCGGACATGGTGCCGAACAACACTCAGTAACAATCCGACAAAGACATCAACGCTCTCGCGTCGACCTTGCGGTGTCATTGTCGAGAAGCCCAATTTGCGTGCACAGTACGAGACTGACCCTGCCATACGAATGTGGATTTGACACCACTTTAGCTCAGGACTGTCAACAGAAGAAAAAAATGTCCCCACGCTTATTTCAGCATGGAGATGCTTAGACCATTTTTTATTTATTCATGAGTTATAGTATAGCACTTATAAAACGGCGTAAATGTAACACAATGCTCGAGATTAACTTTTTTAAACGAACAAAAAATAATAGTGCAAATCTATGCCTACTTTCACTTCCCCATTCTAAAGAGTGTTGACCTCCTCGCACATTCGGTCTCTTGCTGAATGGAATTCGCCGGTGTTATGGGCGGGCGCGGAGAAACGCTCACCTCCCTGCATTCAAGCGCGAGTTGGAACAACGTTGACACGCATTCCAGACGGCCGAGGAAGCGCATCTGAAAGCGCGCGACGCAGTGACCGCTATCGAGCAAAGAGGGTCGCTGCGTCGCGCGCTTGCTGATGCGCTTCTGCGGCCGTCTGGAACGCTCTTCTATCCGATATTAGGAAGCCACTGGAGCTATGCACTAGATTGAACACTCATTTATTTAGAAATGCTTTTTGTGTTTAGTTTGTTGTCCTTCCCCCGCAACTCCGATTAGCACGGTTGGCTACGTACGGTGCAAAATAAGTTCAAAATATGTACGTACTTGAACATATTTCAGCATAAAAAAACCCTTATCCAACAACTAAAACGCACGCTCTTAACTTTACGTGGAAAACATTACACGGACGTAATTTGTTAAGCAACTATTACCATTTCACTTGATTAAAGCCACATCTCCTTCCAGGCATTTGAATTCGTTTTTTTAGTTTCTTTTTCAAAAGTTTTTTTTTTCAAACAACTGTCAGCTATTATTAGAAGCCAAGGTTAAACACAGCTTAAGCACAATGCACACAGAGGAAAAAAAAATATTCCCAGCAAATAATTTCGGCCTCAATAACCCTCACAACGGCTCCCTCTTAGCGGCCACAGCCGCGGGCAAGTAGTGAGTGGCGCTGCGTTATTTCAGCTGTCGAGTTTTACAATTTCACACAAACAATACGTGAGTTGTTGGCATTGTCTCTTCGGAACGCGGCTGCAATGTTTATTGCGCCCATGTCAGCTATACTGGGAGCCCTCCCCCTCGCTCTGACTCATGCTAGTTCCTTCAATAACAGCTGCTACGTACACTGCAACTGATCAGGCCAATCGGGGTGAGACCATTGTAATAATTATCATCATCAAGCGGGCATTTATTCCAGAGCAGGCAGCACAGATGGATTAATTGCATGGCAAGTATTGACGTCGATTAGCTTAACCCCAGCACCTGTACACTTGAATTGACATTATCAGCGATAGTGATTCTTTAATCACAATCGACGCTTAATCAAAAATCAAATTAAATTATTATCAAATTCAATGTCAATTCTACGCTTATAATGTATGCACATAGTTTTGCAATAATCAAATAAGATTTTTTTGCGTATAGTTTCCATACCACTATATTGTCTATGAATACATAAATTTCACTTGCATAGCAAAGGCAAAAAAAATATTTGTCGAATAAATTGTGATTCTGAATCGTGATAATTCACCTCCTAGTAGAGGGGGCAAATCATTATATCCCTAGACGTAAAAAATGTTAAGTCAGAGTTTCCCAAAGATATTACAACACTGTATATAATCCGAATAGGTACAGTGTAAAAAAGCCACGAAAAAAACTAAACTAAAAACACTTAAAGTAAATATATTTACAAAAAAAAACATCCCTCAAGGTTTAAAGCTAATGCACAGAAAAGTAAATGATTAGACAGTCCCATCTCTCAGAAACATCTTAAAAGTGTGTGCTAAACTGCCGCAATATCAAGGTTGCTAATGTAAATGATATTAGAACAACGAAAGGATCTGGTATTAATTCGATCCCAGAGTTACCCACAGAAGGAAACATGAAACAATATTCATCCAGCATAAAATAAAGCCATCCAGTTTCTATACAAAACAACAATCTGCACTCGATTACTGCTACACCTTTGACAAGAGTTCTTGAATCACGACTGTAGTTTCCACACTGGAGACTGGCAGATGTAACACAGTTTGTGATTGCCCTGCATTAATAATGTGCAGGTCATCCGGGCAAATGAACGGACGGCTTGCGTGCTCTCGCAACGGCGGGCGACTCTTACAAAACCAGCCTCTCTGCAGCCTCGGCTGTGGCATGTCAAAAACCCCGCGACGGACCGCACCGCTCTACATCCACACTGCTCGACATGAGCAAATGGCACGCTTAAAATCGGAACATGATGAAGCGCGCTGACGATAGATATCCAGGAACAACAACAAAAAACAAGGAGAATTTCAACGCGCCGTAGTTCAGTGACTTTGCGCTGCGCGATTCGAGCGGGCAGACAGATGCCGCCAAACTTAACCGGAGCATAAAAGCGCAGCTAATGCGGTGATACCAAAGAGTGGAGTCAAAATTTGCGTTTGCGGCACTTTGCTTGCGGTTTGAGACATTTTATATCTGTGTCGGGAAGACACATGTGTAAAGAAGTCACGATGATGTAAGGGGATGACATTAAAACCACCGCAAAGCTGGCTCGCAATTAGGGAATGAGTCTTTTATAAACGAAGATGGCAACACACCCCTCAACAGTCACTGCGACACTAGTTTCGTAAACGCATCTAGATTCACGCACAGACGATTGCACTCAATTCTCAGTGATTGTTTGCGTCTGCTTAGAGGCTGATGGTGAGGAATTTCACACCCGTTTTTGTTCCGTGTAAAGACGGCTGCTAGCTAGTGAAGCGGATTGTGGGGATTTCAAAGACTCGCTCAATGGATTGAAAGGAAAATTATGATCCACACCGGATCATGCAGGCAGTAACCTCAAGAGGCCAAAGGTGTAAGTATATCCTAGACGCATTTGCTGCCGTTGGACACAGCAAAAATGGATGGATATCGTTTTCAATGTGTTGTAGTTGCGCATTTATTCTAGGTTTGTAAAATCCCAAGTTACTTAAAATTTGTATATGTCACAGAGAAGCCTTGTCAGATGCACCATATGTAGCCAACCGGGTTAATCAGAGGTTCACTCACACACGTGATGTGAATGGTAGATTCAAGAAACTCCCTTGGATACGTGCACTGCTGACGTTTAGACTCAAAATTGTCTGAGAAATGTTTACCGGGCGTTAGTTTTGTCTGATTATTGAGCAATCGCCTTGGGGTTCAGAGAAGTACAAACAAGTACCATATTTGAAGAACGGACGTAAATTGACACTGCTGCTGTACGCTCAATCACGACGTAGGTAGACACAGAACACAAAAAAAAGCAGATGAGGTGTAAAGCTAAAGGCATGGAATGCAGGATGGATGTTCCATGCAAGATCGGGCCGAAACGTCATACGGCAAAAAACGAAGTGAACATCTGTAATAATTGGCTTTAGCACGCGACGCCGGATAAAGACGGGCTTTTTGATTACGCACTCTAGCACTCTCCAAGCGTTTAATAAACACTCATGTCTGCTTGCAGAAGCATTGTTCCAAGACCAGAGGATCATAAACTAAAAGCACACGCACGCGCGAAACAGATACGGCTAACCTCGAAGTGGAGACGCCACTGAGGCACGCTCAGAGCACGCGCGCAAGCACACACGGGAGCGCGCACGATAGCACCAACGCACGCTGAGTCCACCCACAAGCGTGGCGGGGCAGACCGCACCTCGTTTGGTGATGCCACCGTTTAGTTTAATTTTTATATCTATTTTTTTTTATGATATTTTTTTGTTTTACGCGCCACATACAGAACTCGTGGCAAGTCTTTGTTCGCCCGCACCAAGGCCTTATCTCGGGCAAAGAGAGGTCGGCATCCTGAGTCAACCTTTGACCCCTCGCCCCGGGCAAGCTTCTCGGTCGGTTCGGTCGGTGGCCTAGCTGCACTTGCAGGACTTGACCACCATGTTGGAGAGGTGCTCCACCTTGGGCGTCTTGTTGACGTAGTAGAGGATGGGCAGCGGCTCCAGGTCTTGCGGCACGCAGCACGGCGACACGGACGCCTCTGGGTTCAGCGTGTTGTACAGGCTCAGCACCTGCTCAACCACACCGCCGGAAACTCGGGTTACCCCCCCCCCCTCCTCCCCACTCCCGAGTACAACAATAAAAAAACACGATGAGCTATGACAGATATTTATACGATTTAACCCCAAAACACCTTGATTATGGATAATTTTGGTCACGAACGGCTACCCGTTAAACAAACCAGAATATATCATGGATAAAGATGCCATCGTGCACAGCAAGGTATTGAGCAACAATTTTGAATCACAATACCTTGCTGATCTCGTCAAGGAACATGAACCATCATGCGAACTCTGGTCATCCTCGCAGCGGCTTTTGGCTCAGCCATCGAACAAAGACGGTCGCCGCATCGCACGCTTTCAGATGCGCCTCTGTGGCCGTCTGGAACGCTCTTCCTTCCAATATTCGGAAGCCACTGGAGTGATGGACTTTTACAGGTAGGGACAACCGTTCCACACTGCCCACCAGGGATGATTTGTCTGTGTCGTGCCACGCCCTCAATTTGTATTTCATAGAGCGCTTCGGGCGGGCTCAGCACCACGTGACGCGCCGCCCCACGCAGCTTGCGCCGCGTGACACGGATCGCACGAATGCGCTGTCCAACCAAGTTCCTACCTTCCCACTCCGAAGGAACGTGTTAAATCGAGATTCAAAACTCATTTGTTTAAAATTGGTTTGCTATGTACGGTACGAAACAAATTCAACATAGACAGGTCCATAAGTGGCACCGTGCTGCGATCGCGTGGCGCCTGCTTGCCTTGCTGTGCTGGGTGTCGGTGCTCCAAAGGTAAGGGCAGGGTCCGGCGCAGAAGTTGGCCTGGTAGCCGCGGGGCTCGTGAATCCACTTCCAGCCGAGGTCCCTCCTGAAGTCGATGTAGAGTTGGCGCAGACAGCAGCTGTCCTCGACGTTGCTGCGGTTGCAATTTGACAGCGCAGGAGACACTTTCACTCAGGACATCATCCGGTCGTTCTGTATTCATTTGTGTTACGTGGTACATGTGCGAATGTGTACATGCTATCCATAGTCATAATAAACGTTTGTTTAAAAATGTGTCGTAACCCTCCACCACCCGACACGGCCAATCAGAAAAAAAAAGTGTCACGTTGACAAAAGACAAAGAGTTCACTACTTTAGCCCACCAGTTGTGTTGCAGAGTGAATTCACAACATTTACAATTTTTGAGTCATCGGGCAAATTGCCCGATGATGCTGGATGTAATTACCAGCGAAACGTCGTACTCAAAAATTGTAATTGTTGTGGATTCACTCTTCAACACACCGGTGGGCTAAAGTAGTGAACTATTTTGTCTTTTGTCAACGTGACACTTTTTTTGCTGATTGGCCGTGTCGGGTGGAGGAGGGTTACGACACATTTATAAAAAACGCGATCTAACCCAAAAACGTTTATTATGAATAATATTGGTCGCGAAAGCCTACGTTTTAAACTGAGCTATCCATAGAGTTCTGTAATCCCCGAGGTTTACTGCCCAGACATCTGGCTTGCTTGCAGATGCAGTTATTCCACTGTCAGACCACAACCAAGTTCACGATAAGTTATGACAATCGATAAAAGGTACAAAGCGATGTATGTCCTAGGGTATGTCAGGCCACTGTGTTTAAAGCTTAAAGTGTTAACCACTTCATCATAGATTACTATAGTTTATGGAAAGTTATGAAGCATGAGTTGTGGACTTTGATGATCGAATCCATGAAATATCTTTTACTGGCCATCATGTAAACAAACGAATTTCAAGAAGTTCTGTGCCCATACTGCGGTCGATCTTCTTGTGCCTCCTGCAATTTGGTAAAAAAACACCTTGAGAAAGTCTTAGTTGGCCTGCGTTTTTGTCCGAGTATACGGAGATGTCCAATGTATGCTAAACATAAATCGTGTCGTTGTGCCCAAATCAGCATAATTCAATGAACCAGTTAGATTTATCCACAAATTTGACTGTCGCCTGATGAAGCTAGTTGTAACTACCGGCGAAACGTCGTACTCAGATGGTAAATGTTGTAGCTTCGCTCTCCAACACACCAGTGTGCTGTACTAGTGACGAATTGGCACGTTCTATTTACGTGACAACCCTTACTAGTTGGTCGTGTCGGGTGGTGGCGGGTTTTAACGACACATTTATATATTTACGCGATCTAACAAAAAAAACCTCTATTATGGTTGATAAGACTTAATAACGACAAGGCACAATGTGTTCAATGTAAGCAGCCTCACAGCAGCTCATCTTTAAGGGGGGCAGGCATTGCCGGCTAAAGGCATGCGAAAGCAATTTTCAACAGTTTACCGTAATGGTGTGGAATCGCAACAGGATTCCACGCATTTTTAGGGTTTTACAATTTTAAGAATGGCTTTCATATGCATTGGCAAGAAGCCCCACGTCGGAGTAAACGACACCACCCCAAATTTCCATTCCTGCAATGTTTAATTTTCCCAGCATGGTGACGGAGAGTTCAAAGTATTTCAGCAATGCCGAGACTCAACAAAGCGGAGGGAAAGAGGAAAAAAAAACACGTTCAATTAAATAAAGCAAAAGCGTTTCCGTTGAATTTTTTGGCTGTTTTATTTGCACAGAAGCAAAGGCCTCCTATACCAACACAATGCCCAGAAGGCCAATAAAAAAAATGCATGCAGTGAAAGTGAGAAAATAAGTGTTTTTTTTTACTCGAGCAAAAAAAATATGTTCTTGTTTGATGTCAAGAGCACTCAGCCGAATACTGTCCGTTGATCTGCTTCAAGTTAGCCTTGTTTCATTGGAAGTGTTTAAAGTGCTTTCTGGCACGCCCGCAGCGCCGTCGCGCAAATATTCAAGCCCCCCCCCCCCCGCTTCTACACAATGAATGCCCCCGACTTTATTTGTTTAAAAAAAATGCGCCGAAGTCTTCCGATTGCTGCTGTTTTGTGGCATTTAAAAATGTCCCCTCCTCCCCCCCCCGAGGTTTCAAAGCTGTATTTGCTTTGCGTTCCGCGTTGCTCTGACGGAATGGGTATCTCCCTTCCCCCCATCACACTTCAGCACCCCCACCACCCCCCTGCACAACGAGGGATGTAATGTACGTACGTTTAACTTCTTTCGCACCGTAAATACCCAACCGTGCTAATCGAAGGTGCGGAGCACGCTAATCGGAGGTAACAATCACCTAGCACGAGCGTATTATCACAAAATGCACCGTTATTTTTGCTCCACCACCCAACTATGACAAATGAAACAAGCTGGGCCAGCTGCTGGGTACAGTTGTTCATGGCCTTTTCATCGTAAAATAAAAGCTGGAAACGCAAGACCTCGTCTTGTTGGAAAACGAAGCCGCCGTTTAATTACCAATAGCTTGCGCCACGCAAATAGTGTTTTCCTCGAACGTAAGACGCTGCTACTGGTATTAAAATACGTATGGCTGCAACTTATCCGCATTGTAATCGTGGCCACCTGTCAAATCAGCTATGATGGGGTGGTACTCAAAATTATCGGCGGTTCTGCAAAAGTTGAGGAATTTCCAGATTCATATGGCAGGGATTCAATCTATGAGATGACTGCTGTGGATTTATGTCAGGTAGGTAGAATGGAAATTTACACAAACAGTATTGTAAATGCTGCATATTTCCGTGTCTTGATGTGATGGAAAAATTTTCACGATTGCATGCAAAAGAATCATGTAAAATGTTTAAATGGAAGAGCTGCCGGTATAATGGTGGATAAACAAGATATACTTGAATATCTGTTGCGAAAGAAACATTATGTTTTTTTTTACTTCGTTTAGCAAACACGGTCAAGAGTCAGCCAATGAGTGGCAATTGTTCAAAAAGCCTGCCCTCGCCTCTGCTAATGAGAGCCTGGACGTTGAGTCAAAAGTTTCCTCGCTTTAACAAATGAACCTCATGGCGAGAACCCGGGGTCCCGAATAAACGGAAGTTAAAATCGTAACACACTAATTTATTTTTGGCGACTCCGTCCCACCGCGCACACAAACGCCGCGACCCGCCTGGCGCGGATCATTCTGTTGTCATGTTGTCCAAGCGAGGACGGAGGCGCAGAAGAAACACAACTTTGAAACTTTGATTAGCGCATCGTGTAGAGCTCGTCGAGATACATAGATTGCTCTATCGTTCGCCTTCAACAGAAATAAAATAACGTCGCAACGCAGATTATGCGAGTCGGGGGCTTATGGGACCCCGGGGTCCCGTCATAAGGTTAAAATGCTGCTGAATGATATGGGTCTGAGAAAGTGGATAGACACGGAACACAGTTTATGCTGACGTCTTCACACATGACGCCCAACAACAACAACGACGCAAAATCAGTGTGACTACAATCATTTGAGAGGGATCGTTGAGTTAGCAAGCCATTTATTGCCAGGGAGTGATAGTTATTGGCAGAGTAAATGAGAACGTTGTTAGCCTAACAATGAGTGGTACCATTGATTAAGTGAAGAATTACTGAATTATTGAATAGGTTGGTGAGTGATTGAGTGAGTGCTTTTTCTTGAGGGAGTGAGAGTATACAAGAATGTGTATAGTACACTAAGTGAATGGCATAGTAGAGCAGAACCTGTGAGTGAGTGAATCGAGGGAGTGATGGAGTGGTAGCGTGAATGAGCAATTGTGTGAATGAGTGAACCAGTGATTGAGTGTTTTCATGCACTTCATGCCTTCACACCTCCACCCGTGTCATTGAATGGTTCTGCTCGAGTGAGTGTATAAATGGGTGAGCGAGTAATTGAGTGAACACTTGAGTATTTGGGTGAGTAATACAGCGTACGAATTAATGAGTGAGCAATCGTTGTTGTAGGTCCAGACTGTAAGCAGTAGGCTGTCTCAAGGAGTGAGTGAGTAAGTAAACAAACGTGTGGGTGGGTGGAAGAGGCTCACGAAGAACACTCCTGGGCAGTTAGAGGCAGTCACTCTCCAACTACAGTGGAGGGCAGAGGGGCGACGCTCACAACAACGAGTGGAGTTCCAGGTGACTACAACGCAGCAAATTGGCACAGTGGGGAGCACAGGTGATGTATTTGCCAGTAATCTCAGCCAACCCAAGGTACCTAGGTCTGCCCGTGAGCTCCTGCACGTAGCCTGACACATCAGTTAACCCATAAAACCTGAGTTTGCCCAGTGACTTCCTGCCGCTTCACATGGGCTCAAACTGCACTTAGCCAGGTGCAGGTACCATGCTGACTCCACCACTTAGTGGAGAACGGCAGTCGTTGTTGCTGGCGTAACAGAATGTGTAAATTCACTCTTTTTCATGATGATGACGTACGTGTACGTACATGTACGTCATCGGAACGGAACCGGAGGAAACCCCAAAATAAAATAACTTAATCGATACCCGAGGCTTCCACAAGGCCATGCGGGAAGGTGTGTGGCACTGTTTGGCACCAGCGGTTCTCTGCGGTGAGTGCAATGTCTTAGAAAACAACGGCGCTACGCCTTGCAACTTGCAGACGTCTCGCAACGGAAGAGGCTCAACGGGTGACGTGACTGCAACGGGCAGGTACAAACCGAAAGCAGTAGGCCGCGTCGAGGGCACGTTTGCGCCGCTTGCCCTGGGGCTGAGTCTCGAGTCGATACGAGGGCAGCATCATGAGCAGCAGGTGCGCTCCCCGCACCAGACCCTGCTGCTGCTGTTGCTGCTGCTGTCGGTGCCCGCCATCCGGCCCTCTCACCACCTCGTCGTCGATGCCTGGGGAGTAATACACTCATCAGAATCATCATCATAACTGTAATCTGCGCTCCTGCAGTGGAGGAGGAATAGCAAAAACTTGCACAACCGCTTTCCCTTGAAGTCCTCCCGTCCATGGCTGGCAGACCTTGACATTGGTATTTAGCTCCTGGACATACGCAACAGCGGAATCATCATGAACAACATGAATAGGATAGAGTAGAGCATTTGATATCCGACTGTCACGTATCCACCCTGGCCAATGAATTCCCCACACCAATGCGATGCTTGTGCACGGTCGTTGTAACCAGAATCTCATGTAATTTCATATTCATGAAGTGCCTTCAATCACGACGCGTAACAGTAAAATAAAAACGGCAAGAGAATAGAATGATTCGAATGGAAGGAGCGTTAAAGGTTTGAGAAATTAGTGACTGCATACACTCTAAAGCACGGTCAAACATTTCGTACACGTGTAAAGCAGTTTGTGCTTTATGTTACAAGTACCTCAATTGTCCTCAGCGGGTCGGGTATGTGATGTAGCACCGCACTTTAATATAACCGTATCTGTAATTTTCTTGGTTCTTTCGGTAACGTCGTGAGAATAACTGTATTATGTTTTATTTTTATTATTTTATTACTTCCATTCTACGTGACTTTACCGAAAGAACCAAGACGATGAATCCCTGCAGTCACGAAAGCTTTAAATCGAAACGTATCTGTAATTCTTTAGATGTTTGCTCGTGCCCCAATTTGTTTGCTTAATGAGAGCCTCTTGATGTGTTTTGATTAGTGCTGGCCGCTGGTCAATGCTTGTGTTGAGGAGTGGAGTGCTGACGTCAGGTCACACTCGCCTCGGGGGTAAAGTGACGTCATGCCCCCCGGGGTATTTGAGGGGAGACCCGTGACGTGGACGGGGTCTTCGCCGAGAGTCAGAGGAGCGAGTGGTTACGAAGTAGGGGGGCTCCGGGATAGTGGGTTTGAGAGCCAGGCTAAGGGGGGCTACTTTACCCGGCTGGCCGCGTTGGATGAACCCTCGGCCAGTGCTGTGGGAAGAGCCCGATAGCCTGGTGGGGTGTAGGGAACTCCCAGTACCCTTCCCCTGGGGAGATTAGTTAAGAACCGTTGTGTTAACCCCTTCCCCCGAGTTAGGCGTAAGCCCTAAATAAACGGTTTGGCAGTCAGCCCCTACACGACCGGCTTTAGCGTCCTTTTCTACCACGCAACACATTGTAAAAATATTAAATTGTCTAGACATGGCAACAGGTAAGCAACATAGGGTGAGGGAATAGGCAGATAGTAATTGTTTTAATATCAAAATGTGCTTCCATACAATCAGCCTCAGAGACTTTTCACAGTTATTCAAAGTCAAAGTTTCTTCCTGTGGAAAGCAGGACTCATTTCTCTTTGGCAGTTATTAACCCTCCATATTCCCATGACGAGGGCTGGTCTCTTTCCATAGAATGGACACTATTCACGTCCCACAAAGACGCACACATTTTACCAACTCCGAAGGTGCTGACGGCAAAACTGGAATATACGTGCAAATTATAAAGGAAACCTGGCCGCCAATTAGTAGTAAAAAAAAATGTGTTTTGAGAGAAATTCCTACTGGCATTACTCTGAAAGATGAAATTCATAACTATATCGAATTAACGATGTGGAAAACAACTCGACAGAGTGATTCTGGTGTCCAGTGTTGGGCCACAAAAGCCCCACTGAACTGGCTGCAGAAGAAACCTCAGCGGTGTTATGCTGTTGACAGAAGGACTCCCTGAAGGACATTGATTTAGCCTCATGTAAATATGACTTAAATGTGAAAAGAAAACACAAATTGAATGTGACCGCGTAATTTTTTTTTTGCGGTTTTAGCTGCACAGCTCTCCGAAGTGTTTCGGCGTTCATAGTGGGTGTTGTTCGGCACGATATCCGACGTTTCGTCTCACGTGCTGGTGCTGGGAGCTTCTAATTAAATTCCTGCAGAAGCTCCCTCGTAGGTGAAGCGAAACGTTGGACATCACACAACACGAAACAGTACAATCTCCGAAACCACAAACTCGGAAAAATTTGGGAGAACAACTTTAAAGTTTAAACTAAACTATTGAACTACATTTATACATAACCAGGTAATGCCCACTAAGATATATATCTCTTTTTCAAATGCGACCTGGCCACAAATTATATCCCAACAAAGTCGCTTATAACGTGGTAATGTACGTCAGCCAAATACTCTAAAACGCACGTTGATTCTCAATGTGAAGGGGAAAACCGGAGGACCCGGAGAAAAATCCACGCGACCACTGAGAGAGAGAAGCAAACTCCAAATATACGGGCGTCAGGGTCGGGATCGAACCCACGACCTCCGGCATACTAGGCGAGGTAGTGAACATCTCTCCACCGCGGCGCCCCAAGTTATATTTTACGTAAGTGGGTGAGCGGAGACTCAAGAGACAAGGGACGAATCTCATTTGCAATGGCTGCTTGCGTTCCACCGTTACCTGCGAACCGAGCGGCGAGCTCCTCACTCTTGTTGGGAACGATGTTGTTCGTGGATGTGACGAAGGTACAGCATGGGCAGTGGATGCTGATCTTGAGTCCCTGATTTTTCACTGTCAATGGCAAAACAAGCAAAGAAACGCATTCGACTTTCATTTGTTTTACTTTTACACGTGACCAACGTGATTAAAAATTGTAAATATCGGGTCCGCTCGCGAGAGTAGAATGTGAATCGTGCACCCTCATCCACCCGAAACAGCCAATTCTCTCTTTCCCCCCTCATCTGCGATTAGCACGGTTCACTATGTGCTGTGCGAAAGAAGTTCAATATGCATACATACAAACATGTTGTGGATTCACTCTTCAACACACCGGTGGGCTAAAGTAGTGAACTATTTGTCTTTTGTCAACGTGACACTTTTTTACTGATTGGCCGTGTCGGGTGGTGGAGGGTTACGGCACATTTATAAATAACGCGATCTTAACCCAAAAACGTTTATTATGAATAATATTGTTCGCGAAAGCCTACGTGTTAAACAAACATACAGCCAATTAATATCGTTGTCACGTGAACAATCGCGCCAATGTATTGCTGTTTCAGCGTCACCAGTGTGGTGGACCCCCCCTCAAATATGACTTCACAAAGCTCTGCCCCCCCCCCCCCAAATAAATAAAACATGCTTCAAATCGCTTTAAACTATTTTCATTGTAGTGCGTGTTTAATGTGGCGCTGCACTCTGATGTTGTTGGAGAAAACACTTATTAAAAAGTCTATTTTATTAAGTAGAACGTGTTGTCTAGATTTATTTAAGGTTGCGCATTTTGATGTGACGTCACATTTCTCAAACCCCCCCTCCCCTCGTCACACATCGTCACAAATGTCTGACCCCCCCCCCCCCCAGGTGCGTGACGTCATTTATGGACGGCCCCTAAAACACTTGCCGCATTTGAACAATCTCCAGACGCATGCCAAAGCAGCGTGAGGCACAAACCGAAAACACGTTCGGGACATCCTCCGTGTCACAATTTGGGCAGAGAAGAACACGTGCGGGGATCGACCTCATGGGAGCCAAGGTGGTTACCTCGGTGCTGGAGCCACTCAGAGACGGTGTCCGTGATGTCAAAGGAGAGCCACTCTTCCTCCGACTTGGGCCGCACCACCTTGCTGTCGATGTACCGCTGGGAAGGGGCCCCCGGGTCCTTGAACTCCAGCAGCTGCACGGTACAATAATCATGATCGTCGGCATCATTGTCATCATCATGATCGTAAATCACCATCATCATTGTCATCGTAAATCATTATAAATCATCATTGTTGTTTCAAAAAGTAATAATCATGAAAAGCATCATCATAAAATACCACCATCATAATTCACCATCATAAATTACCATAATAATTTTCATTAGAAATCATAAATAATCATTGCCGTCATAATAATAATCATCATCATAAAATAATCTTCACCAATGGTATGGTGAAGATCCGGACTGTGCCCTCTGTTCCATGCCAGCCAACCTCAGGCACATTCTCACAGGGTGTAAAACAAGCCTCACCCAAGGACGCTACACTTGGCGTCACAACCAAGTCCTTAAAACCCTTGCGTCTGCCCTGGAGGACAAGCGAGCTGCCACCAACTCCCTACCACCCCCAGCAGCATCACACCCCTTACGGACGACCTTTGTCCGCGAAGGGGCTAAACCACCGAAGAGCGGCTCTACACCAATAGAGCGAGACCAGCTGCGCTTGGCCCGCGACTGGAAAATGCTAGCTGACATTGGCTGGCAACTTGTGTTTCCTCCGGAGATCGCAACCACCACCCTAAGACCTGACGTGGTGCTCTGGTCCCGTTCGCTCAAGAAGGTCTTCATCATTGAGCTCACAGTACCCTGGGAGGACTCAGTAGATGAGGCTTATGAGCGAAAACATCTGCGCTATGCCGATCTAGCTGCCGAAGCACGGCATCATGGCTGGAACACAGAAGTCCGACCAGTGGAGGTGGGCTGCAGAGGTTTTGTGGCAACATCTACAACCAGACTGCTTAGAGACCTGGGAATTAAGGGCCAGAGCCAGCGTTCGGCAATCAAAGCTGTATCGGAGGCGGCAGAAGGCAGCAGTCAGTGGCTCTGGATGAAGAGGAAAGACCCCAGCTGGGCCCCAAAGTGAGAGGGCCAGGAGGTATGCAGTCAACAATGCTTGACTCAGGGAGGAGGACGCCCCTGCCATGCATAGTCCCATGGGATGTTGGCTACCAACAACAAGGCAACTCCTATGACTAATTGGGAATGGGACGCAAGCGTAGGATTGATCACCCTGTCACTGGCCGCCTTTGGGGAGGGTGTATAGTATGAAAGGCCGAAACACCCTAGGAACCAAAGGGTCACTACTGACGATGCGCTCCCCAAATTTCACCAGGCTCACTGTTCATGAACTCTTGGAAGTGCTTGCACAAAGGATAGTAACATCTCATCCTGTGTTCTTTGGAATTACAACCATCATGAATCACCATCGTCATTATTCTCATCATCATAAAGTGCCATCATCAAAATAATTATCATTATAATAATAAATTACCACCATCATAATTCACCATCGCCAGCATTGTAATTCACAATCAACAACAACCATCATCACCGCCATCATCATTGTAAACCATTGAAAAACGCCATCAACATCTTGTTAAATCACCATAATCGTTATCATAATTATAAACAATCATCATGAATCACGATCATCAATTATCCTCGTCGTCGTCGTTGTGAACAGGCATTTTTTTATTACACGCTTTTATTTAACTCACTCTGTTGTTGTTGTCGTATCCTCAAATATTGCAACTCAATTTTAACCCACTTCCCAATATGGTATCGACTGCAAACTTGGTATACTTATGTCATACTGATGACAATACCATATTCTATAATAAAAAATGAAAAAAAAGTATTTTTAAACATTCATTTTTATATGTTATGTTTCTGCTTGGCTCTAATTGCCCACGCTCAACTCACGTTGGCTGTAAATCACCACGGCCCCTTACGCTATGGCAAGCTTTGCGACAACTTCCTGGAGTCGTGGAGTTCTGCCATTACGAGTAGGGTACATTTCATTAAAGCGTGTTTAAAAAAAAGTATTTTTAAATATTACTCATTTAACATTGCGCTGTAACCAACAATTTGGAGGAGTCTAAAGGAGTGCAGTGGAATGCATTCTGTACACCCCCTCGGCCATGTCGCGTTCGCTATTTGATTGTTGATTTAAAGCTTTCATGACTGCAGGGATTCATATTATCGGTTCTTTCGGTAAAGTCACGTAGAAGGGAAATTATAAAATAATACAATATAAAACAATGACATTCTCACGACGTTTCGACTGCAACACAAGCAATCGTCATCAGGTGTGAAAAACACAGCAAGAAAAAAACGCCACTTTTTTAAATTTTCTTGCTGTGGTTTTCACACGTGATGATGATTGCTTGTGTTGCAGTCGAAACGTCGTGAGAATTTCATTGTTTTATATATTTTTTAATTTTTTATTTCCCTTCTACGGTGACTTTACCGAAAGAACCAATAATATCATCATCATCAGGTGTGAAATCCAGGTCAAGAAAAAACCGCCACTTTTTTCAAAATTTCTTGCCGTGTTTTTCACACCTGATGATGATTGCTTGTGTTGCAGTCGAAACGTCGTGAGAATTTCATTGTTTAATATTTTTTTATTTCATTGTTTCTTTTCTTCGTGACTTTACCGAAAGAACCAAGAATATTTGATTGTTGTAAACGAATCTCCACATTCATTCGTTTGTCCATCTGTGGAGACAAAGGAGTACCTGGTACAGCTCTATCCTCTGCTCGTTCTGCTTGGCTTGGTAGTTGGGAATGCGTAGAATCCTAAATTCCGCCTTGACCAGATTGGAGGCATTCTTTTCCATTGACGTCACATCAAAGTTGAAGATTCGGAAGTAGTCGTTGTAAGGATTTCGCCGCACCTTATCTGCAAGGCATAGCAAAAACATTAATCGTCGATTAATTTTCTCATTTTGCACCCCTTACTGCGTTTTCACAGCTCAAATCATACGTCACAGAAATGATATTCAAATTGAAACGAGGTGTGACTACATTGTGACGACAACAACTCATCACGGAAGTAATACATTACGTTTTAAAAACCCACAACCATGTCAGGATTGCACAAGTAATCAAGAGACGCCTACACACACACAGAATGGTCCCAAATTAAAAAAAAAACGTACACGTACTTTATTTTCAATCAAATGCTGGATAACGGCCTTCTCCCTACCGCGTCGGTTATGGAGATTGTTTGACCATACTTTACCATGCTGGTTGGTGAAAGTGATTGAACATAGATGCGGGAGCATTGAGGTACAGTACAACAATGTATTTTTCCAGCACTGCCCTCTGCTGATCTGTGCGTAGCACGGTGTAGCCGCTGCGTAGGTGAACTTGGCTGCAGTGGTCTCTCATCCAAATGCTATCCAAACTCAACTCTGCTTAGCATCTGACGTCTGATGAGATCATAGGTAACTGAGGGAAACGCGTTAATAGGAAATTGGTAAATTATCCCCAAGCGGGACCTTCTTAAAGGGCTCGGGGACTCATTCAGAATTCCCCGGGTCAGTTTTAAATTAAAAATTCAAAGAGTTTAAATTTCGATTTAAAGCTTTCGTGACTGCAGGGATTCATCTTCTTGGTTCTTTCGGTAAAGTCACGTAGAAGGGAAATAATAAAATAATAAAAATAAAACAATAAAATAATTCTCACGACGTTTCGGCCACAACGCAAGCAGCCGTCCTCAGGTGAAGACCAGGTCTGTCGGGAAGACAGACAGCGTCTTCACCTGAGGACGGCTGCTTGCGTTGTGGCCGAAACGTCGTGAGAATTTTTTATTATGTTTTATTTTTATTATTTTATTATTTCCCTTCTACGTGACTTTACCGAAAGAACCAAGAAGATTCAACGAGTTTGTTTTGTTCCAATGAAGCAATGGCACGGCAATCATATCTAACTGAAACATTCCACGTATTTTATTGAAGTAACCAGCCTCTCCATGGATGGCCAATGTTGACTCCCCACGCACAATTTACGATAATTACTGCAGGTCAAAGGGACTTCCGTGGTCAAACACAGGCGGCTCTGGGCCAATAATAAAAACTAAAAAATTCCACAACACTTTGGTGGGGTCCTGTCTACGAAACGACGCGAAGTGACTCGGTTTTGGCGACCGTCGGGCAAAATGCGTTCATCGTGCATACGCAGGGAGACGATTTGAACACAAAGCATCGTTGAGGTGACGCACGGTTTACCACGTGCTGCTGTTGTCATTAATGGGAGCCAGTGCTGTTTTTATTTTTTACAATTTGGCGAGTGGCTTACAACCACAGCTGCTTGAAAATTACCAGGGTCGTATAACACAACCCAAAACACTATTATTTTCAGTTTGAATGTGTCATGTTAACAGCACTGCAGCTTGCCCCAGGATAAGTAATGTATAAAAGCTATAGAGCTATTTCTATATTCAAGTTTAATTGCAAACAGTATTATACACATGAGTAAAAACACATGGCAATGCAAGCTGCCTTCTTATTTGGCAACATTTATCAGGTTGTTATTCAATAATGAACATCACTCTTGCTTGGCAAGCCTTACGTAATAAGTGGTGCGCTATAATATTAATTTGTAAAAAAATTCAGTCCAATGACCTTTACTTAATCAAATGTGAGTCCATCGGGATTCTTTATCTACATCTTTAATCGAAACCAAGGGAACCACAGTTACATATAGATACATAATTATATTGAAATTCATTTCAGACAAAAATTCCACATTCGGGATTTTGGCTAAGCCACTGCCACGCAATTGGCAAACGCTTCTATATAATGTCCAGGCTTATTTAACAGTAACTTTAACGCATAAAGACTACTTTGGTGACATCCTACAAACGGTGACAGACTGGGACGAACACAAAAAATCGGCCCAGGTATTTGTAAACATAGCGGCCCAAATTTCTGTGCGATCTCATTGGCCCATTTTGGCTGGGTCCAAAAAACAAATGGGCCAGTGATGAAGAATCTTTGGGGCTGCCGAATAAATAACCAATGAAGCGTGCGCATTCGAGGTACTCAATTTTTTTAATAACATTTTTTTCCTCTGATCACGTTTACAAATTCCCCACACAGACCGGCCCACCTGCCCTCGGAATGGACCGGCCCATTGACCATTTGCCCGGACTGCTCCCCTATGGCCAGTCGGGGTCTGCCTACAAAAATTGAAGAACAGTGAGAATCAATTAAATGTATTCATGAAATCTGGCTGAGTAGCATGTGAATAGAAAGGCAGACTATCCGGAAACCAGTTGACAGTTTAAAATGTCGTGTCTTCTTATTCAATTGAGAAAAGGGCAGCTGTCATTCTCCATTGATGCCTCTGAGCTTGTGGTAAAAATCCCACACGAACACGGATATATGAAATCGTTCGATATATTAACATCGAAAGAAAATGACCGTTAAACCATCCACAAACACTGCACTGGCTGTGGTCGGTTAAATGCTGAAAACATGCGACAGTCAGATATGTGACGGTCAGATTTGCAAACGTTGCACTCTCTCTATTTTAGAATACAATATGTCACGTGACATTCACGGAGAAACCTCAACGCCTACAATGCACGGTGCAGGAATAGTTAATTATCCAGGGAGATACTTGCGGGAAACAAATCCATCACAAATCCATCACACGAACTTTGGTCTTCTTCGCAGCGGCTTTTGGCTAGCCATCAAACAAAGACGGTCACTGCATCGCACGTTTTCAGATGCGCTTCCGCGGCTGTACGGAAAGCTCTTCCGTTATTAGAAAGCCACTGGAGTTCTGCGCTTTAACATCTAGATTGAACACTAATTTCTTTATAACTGCTTTTTGTCTTTAGTTTGTTGTCCTTCCCCCACTCCCCTGATTAGCACGGCTGGCTACCTCTGGTGCGAAAAAAGTTCAACAAAGGCATAGAAATCCATTTTGCTTGCGGAGTAGTGGCTCGTTTCAAATCCAGCACCCACAATACTGCACTCAACCCACCCAGAACACCTTTCTAATCTCCACCAAGTCTACTCAAATACAAAAACAAAGATTCCCCGTATAGCCTAAACAGACTGTATGGGCAAGTGCTGTTAGCGAGCACCTATGAAGGCCGGAACAGTACACGAGGGGGTAGGTGGCCAGCACCACGCCCGACCGCCTTTGTCTCCCCAGTGGCGATGTTTACACATCGCACCAGGTACTCATTTGAGGCTGAGTCGACCTAGGGGAGGCCCAGGACCAGTTCAGATAATCGTCTATGGTGTTGGCCGTGAGCGGGAATCGAACCCGGATCGCCGGGTTCATAGCGCAGCTTAGCGCTAACCGCTAAACTACAGCACAAAACTTCACATCCATGCATTATTAGAAAATGGATCGTGTCTGAAATATTAAATACATCGCTAACCCGTCGTGTGCACTCCCAGTTCAACAAAAATACCTGAATTCACTCCCGTGCAGGACGGGAAACGCACAATGAATATGCGTTTGCAAGGAGGCATTCCCTTACGCAAACGTTGGCTTAAGAAATGCGCCATAAAAGTTATGGGCTTTGAGAAAGGGTGCTGGATCGGCAGGTGCTATACGTGCCTACGTGCTCATGACGGTAAAGTTTCCCGGCAAGCGCATTACTCAAATCACAGCTTGCACTGCCCTGGCGGCTCGCGGTGGAAAACTTGCCTCCTGGAAATGAGCACAACCCCTGTCCAACCCCCCCCCCACCGCTCAAAAAAAAGACTGTACGTTTAACACCCTTGTTTAAAGCATTTTAATGACGCGTGCTCTGGTACGTTACAGTTGTTTTTTTGCACATTTCGGCGACTCCAGAGACAGAAGTAAAATCGAGGACAATGTAACTTGCGTAACACGGCTCATTTTTTACAATGTAGGTGGAGGGGGTGGGGGGTGCTATCCCCCTGCTCTCATCCCCCCACCAACCCCCCTCTCCCTCGTGAGAATTGAGGCTGCCACTGCTGCACGTACCGGGGGTGGCATTCGCTCAGGTGATACCCAGAATTCCCAGCTCACAACTTTCCATTGCCCAGATCCCAGCTCGCTCACTCATCACTTCGCCTCGTTGCAGATACAAATATGTACGTTGGACTGCATGTATGTACAGTGTGCTTGACTTCTTTTGCACCGTACGTTGCCAAAAGTGCTAATCGGAGGTTGCGATTTTCACAGCGAAGTGAATTGTAAACCTAGTCAATTGAAGCAACTTACCTGCGGAGTACGTGTAAGCAGTAGTACTCCATTCTGTGAATAAAATGTGTTTTAGTTGGCTATGCAGACCATTATTAGCCAGCATAATATTTGTAAGCAAGCACAGTCTGGACAGCAGTGGTTTCGACTTTCTGGGTCTCATCAGGAGCGTCAGGCTTGTTTAACAAATTGTTGCTGGTTACCAGACGTTATTGGCAAGAGCACCCCATCGCGACTGTGGGGTCCTGTTTAACACACGAAGCAGTATTGTTAACAAGGCTCATTATTCGTTGTTGTAGATCAGAGTCGTCGTGAAGAGATACATTTACGATTCGGTAGAATATCACATACTCCTGGGCCATTTCCCACTGTTGGGGTGGAGTGTGGTGGCGCAGCGGTTTGCACTGCGAGCACAATGACCTGAGTTTAATTCCCGACCATGGCGAGTGGTGTTCTGAATCGGTCCCAGGCCCATCCTTCACAAACCCGCACTGACAAGTGTGGTGAAGTATGGCCAAGCAACTCGGCAACATGAGGGTGTGAACCTTGTCCAGCAATTTGCAAGTCTAATTCATATCTACTTTGTAATATTTTAGCTTTTGTTCGAATGATCCGTCCACTTAACTTCCTGTGCGATATTCCACCAGTGCCGGCCCCGGCTTGGGCTGGACACCTGTGATTTAAAAGAGATTCACGGCTCATTGA